CCCAAACTATTTTTCATATTGTTAACAGTATTTCGTTTTATCCCACATGCTTCGTCTTCAAATCTACCGTGGGGATCCCAACATTGCTTCATTCAAATCGCCTCCGCATTTACGCCACCCATGAAAGTATTCGAACTTCTTGCGCGTGAGTTCGGCTGCAGCATGAGTGCTGTGGCTTTCTTCATTAATGTCATCGAGGGCTGACAGAGGCAATTCTCGTTGAAGACTGAGGATATCCAAGCCTCTGCGTTCCCAAGTGTATTGAAGAAATTGAGCTGAATACAGACAAGTTCAGTGTTGAGTACTGAGGTAGTTCCAACCAAAATTTATAAAATTAGTTATTTTTCAGTAGAGATCAAATCACTCTTCGTTGTCCACCACACCTTCTAGGCTTGGCGCTCATAAGTGTGAATGAAGATGTGGAATCCGAAAATTTGTCCGCGAAACAGTGAGATTGTACAGATCGAGAGGGAGCACAAAGATTCCAACCGATTACTCAGCTATGGAAGAAGGCACATCAGGATTTGCCGTCGTTTTAGCAGACAGGTGATTGCCACTTGGTAGATCTTCTGATCCAGTTATCTGTCCACCAAGTACAGAGATTACATGGCAATACTGCGGCACACTTTTCTCATGCAGTGTAACTTGCTCAACCAATTAGTAGAGCGGAAATTGACCACACAAGCCTATAAAATTCGTGCACAAAGGCAGAAATGTACAAATGTCAATGTTACTAAAGTCGAATCACCTGCTTGTATAGAAATTTGTAACCAGCATTAGAGAAAAGAGAAGGCGGGTAGCGTATTTGTAGTGGTGCCGATCATCACCAGCACGGTGTGGGTTGGGACATGATTCGGGTTTACCAAGGCTGTCATTTCTCTGGGTGCGAAAAATTGGTACCGAGCATCTCCAAAGAAAGTTCACTCCCTACAACCCAAATGGAAACGTACCTCAGGGGTTCCATGAAAATCGACATGACCACCGTCCAGCGACATTTATGACAAAAAAAATGGCTGAAAAATGGCTTCCATTTTTGAACGTACAAATTCACCTATCAGAACATGGCTACATTACAAAGTGGTACCGAAAGCCAAGTAGTAGAAATATCTTGGTTCATTACCTCTCCTCTCACCCCTCTCACACGAAAAGGGTGCTTATAAGAAACATGTTTCGAACAGCAACCAACGTGTGCACGGGAAGAGAGCAGAGAGAGGAGTCCCGGAACTTGGCACGGCAAATAGCCGTTTCTAATGGCTACGAAACTGTAGCTCAGAATAGGTGTAGAGGAAATCGTAGGCCTCCAAACGACAACTCTAGTGATAGAAGGGTCCCGTTTATCCTACCCTTCATCTCAAATGGTATAAGTACAGCTATAAAACGATGCTTAAGAAGGGCGGGCTTAGAGAATTCGGTGAGCGTAGTTGAAATACCACCGAGTAATCTTAAGCGTCAGCTAGTTCGTAACCGCCTATATGACCGTCTATGTGCAACTCAAAATTGCATAATTTGCCCCAGTGGTAGAGACGGTGATTGCATGAGCTCGGGTATAGTTTATCTCATCTCCTGTAAGACGTGTGGTGACGAATACATTGGCGAAACGGGTAGACCCCTCTGTGTCCGCATGAAAGAACACCTAGCCGGCAAAAATAGACCAAATACCCCGCTAGGCACGCATAGGATCCAGAGACATAACGGGGACGGCTTCGAAGTATGTGTCACGATCCTCGCACGCGAATCAAGAACACAAGCGCGCAAAACTCTCGAGGCACTCTGGATTAATTCCAGAAATCCGAAAATGAACCGCAGGGAAGAATGCCTCATTATCACGCGTGATATAGGGCAGTATATAAAACTGCTTTTCTGATGTGAGGGGCACATTATACTTCCACGTGATTTCTGTGCGGTTGGTCTCTACGTGACATACTTAGTGGAGACCTCATAGAAAGCGGTGAGTGTGCAAAGCTGTGTTCAAAGTGATTGAAATCTTGGTGTGGAGTTTCTTTGTTTGGTTATGGAGGCGTCTGGCCGAGTGAGTTGCTATCAACTTGACCTTTCCAGGCTCTGAAGAAGGCGAAATCCGCCGAAACGTCAGCTTAATCGTGAACAAAGAATAGTAACACCTCGCGTTTGCTCAACAGAAATACGAAGAAAATCACTTGATCAATGCCGAGGTTAATAGAAAGTCGGTCGTGGCAGTTACAAAAGAAAATTTCTGAAGCACCAAGCGATCCCACAGACAAAAAAAGTGGGAAGGCTGTGTTGGATGATGGATGCGATGAAGCTGGTATCCGTGCCCCGTTCTTACTTTAGCACGACGAAGCTCCAAGAGCGGTTTAAAAATCTCAGTCACTCGCAAATTGACCTTGGCCGATACTTTTAGGTTGCCTGTGGCACCCTCAGCTGTTGAATGCTTGCTCGGTAGAAAGCCTCACGGATAGACTGACCATGCAAGACGACGTTGGTGTGTCGATTCTGGTTTTTACGGGACTGGTCTTCTTGCTCGGCAGGTCGCACTTGTTTTTTGCAACAGTAATTGGAATTGTGGTTATATCTGAAAAACGTATAAGTTTTCTGCCATAGATGCGATGTCGATAATAAAAATAACGTTTACAGCAAAATTACTTATGATAACACATGCAGAAAGATGAAAATCTGCGTTGGAACCACATGATCAACGGTTCAAGGGCTCAATGATTTTCGAAGCGCCCATTATCTTAAGGAGCTTTCCACTGAGGAAGATCAGCTGATTAGAGTCGCATATGGCTGATGACTATACCACCCCACATCAAAAGATTTAGAAGTGGGCCCAAGTTTTTCACCATCACAACCCATTTGTTAGGCAACGGTGCATAGGATCGCACGCAATTTGTATGAACTACAAGATCAACTGCGACATCAGGCCAAAAAGGAAATATTGAATATAAATGAAAACCAAGAAGTGGCGGGAATACAACCATCTCCACTTCCTAGAGTGTTCTTTAGACAGCAGAACCCTAACGGGGAAATCGATACGAAATTCCGAACAATGCGCTTCCATGGAAATTCCGAATGTTTTCGGACGATGTTCTCAAAATTCTACATCACTATCGCGGTAGAAGGTTTGTATGTGAGCACACACCCGTACAAAAATGTGGCATACGAGAAATTGGAAAAATAATTAAATTCAAAGATCGCTATCAGTTAGTGATGGAGGGGGAGGGTTCGCAGTTATTTTTCGCCATTTAAATGTTAAGATAACGGCGAAAAATCTTAGTATTGGTACCTTTCGTCGCCCATCATTTGAAAAGGAATCTAAGAGACAATACCGAAAACTCAGCAGTCAATGGGTCAACGTGGCAGCGGCGGCGGGATTAAAACCATCCGTTATTTCGCATTATAAAGCATATCCACCAACATGCCCGTCCTATACTTACTTATTAAAACACATAAGTTGGTATCACCTGATGATCTTGTGTCATCCAACCCTTCATCGTTTAAAGTCAGACCCATCAACTGTGTAGACCGGTCAACGGATAGAATAACCTGGTTTTTAAGCCTAATACTTACCCAGTTGCTTAACCACATTCCAACTCGCCTCACGAACACCCAAATGTTCCTAGAACCACTGCTCGATTTTCAGATGGTCTTGGAAATATTAAGCGCAAACGAGGTGGTTGGCAACGAGACAGCGACTAGCACCAACTCTTGCTATTGTGTTTATGTCTAAAATATAAACCTTCTTTCTTGGTGTTCGGCAGCTACTCTACTGCAGATATTTAGAAGATTCTTTTGTCATTTTCTATACTCAGGAGGAGACGACATAGTGCTTTGAATTATTGAGTGAGGAGTCCGACTACGTGAAAGCCACCCGAGAAAAACGGAAAGAAAATTGGCCTCCGTTTTTTAACGTTCAAAATACCTTATAAGATAACGGTTACATGACAAAGGTAACAAAAACAAAACAATCTTGTTCATATCCTTACTTCCCACCTTTAAAAGGGTTCTAGGGATGATTGCATTGGAAGACACACTGTGGCCAACAGAACATTTGAACGCAGGGTATGCTAGTAAGCATTATTTATAAAGTGAAGAACTGTGCACAAAATGAGCGCTCCTTCTAAACCTTTATTCAATTTTTATTACTTTCGCAAAAATACAGCTGGGAAGAACTTTCACTTACCAACTATGCACTTTTGCGAGTTAATTCACCTCATTCATAAAAGCAACTTAATACAGCTACTTCGAAATTCACCGTTATTGCGGAGTATATTAGGTAGAAAGAGCTCAATTTACAGTGATGAATACAATAGAGTTGTTATTAAAACTTATTTAACACATTTGGGACGAAGCTGGTCTTTCGGCAATAGTCAACAATTTCTCGTCCACTAAAAAGAGTCCTTTCTGAGTAACACCTATGAAGCAGGTGTCAGAAACTCTAGCGCGACTATCTCATTTAAAATCGTTGAAACAACCCATAGATCGAGCGGCAGCTTCAAACACAAACATATTTGAGAACAGCGTCCTGTACTGCCGAACAAAATTCGGCTTATTCGTGTGCCTTCGTGATCGACATGTAAGCTGCGAAGCAATAGGGTGAAAGAAATATGCGCAATCGATTTCAGAATAGCATACTTATAAAGTGGTAAACAAGACAACCTATATCCAGTAGGAACAGTTTTGATCTAAAGCTAGAAGCAGGCCATTGTTTTTGCATCACATCACTCCTTATGGAAGGGTCTTCTCGAGAATGTTTTAATTCGTTTAAATAAGTCCCTCGGACAATTTACAAAGTCTTTACAAAATTGAGGTGATGCTTATTACATTCAACATTTAACAAAGTTAAACGTCTATATCTTATCAGTTTTTCTAGTCACTGAATGCATTACATAGCAACAATGGCGCACATGGAAAATGATGGACATTTCCTCTACCGAAGAAAATATTTGAAAATATCAGCAACAACAGCAGATGCCTTTCTTCATTGACAGTTGTAAAGTGGAAATAGATGAGAAAATCGTTCTTCATCGTGCTTTTGAACTACTTTTACCTTCGAGGTAGAATGTTGTACACTCGCCTTTTCCCTGTTAAGAGATGATCTTGGATACAGTACAAATCTAGAAACAGAGCACGTGAAAGAAGCAGTACCTTAACTTCAATTTTACCTCGTTCCACAACAATGAACTGTTGGAAAAAACACCGCAATATATTGCAAGACTGTTCAGATATCTGAAAGCATTTTTTTTTCTTATTTTATTACTGAGCTTGTAGAAGGACACACAGTGAGAGTGATGGCAAATTCTTAGTGGTGCACACCTGAATTTTATTGGCGACTCCAGTGCTCTCCATTCTGGATGCCATGTTAACAGTGTCACCGAACAAGCAATACCTAACAGCGAACTGTTCAGTGAAGTGAAAAGAGGTTCTCTTATTGTAAGTTGAAAACATTAAGTTAAATAATGATTTAAATATAAATGATTTATATTTCTTCGCAATTATTTTCATAAGCATGAAATTATGGCAGTCCAGACAGTTTGACAGTTTTTTTTCTAGAAAACATGTGTATCAACAAGCTGGAATTTCATACTGTCGTTTTCACCAAACTTTTTTCATACTGCCCATTGAGGGCGAAAGTAGGTAAGCTTTCCAGCGCTTTCTAACATGATAAAGAAACGTACGACAAGATCAGTGAAAATGTTCTAGAAGCATCTTCCGGAGTGGTGAATAAAACAGCGTTCCTAACAGTTAGTTGGGAATCATGGAAATTGAATTATCACTTAGCTGCCCTTTCGATCTGCCACTTATTTAATTTCTTTGTGAATGGGCAGTGAAAAACTTTTTCACATTGAAGCATCGCTCACTATTCCACGTCTTCTCGTGTCTAATGTTGACAACGAGGCATCGGAAGAGTGGATCGCCCTACTAGGCCAAGCACCACTGGTCAAACTGCTATAGCTTACCACATAACTGTCGGTAACCAAATAAACAACGTTTGATATCCAAATATTGGTCGATATGAAGGAATTTTTTATGAACTAGGAGGAGTTAATAATTTAATTCCGTTGCAGAAGTGTTTGTTTTTATGTCAGTTGACTCAGAAAACTCGATTACTTTCTTCAATGTACGTTAATCAAACTCAGAAAAGTCGAGCAATTGCTTTAATAGAATCATCATCACATGAAGTGGAAGCAGACATGCAGAATAAAAGTCACTACACATCGTTTTTGATGGGATGAGGAAGATTGTTGTGCTATAAGAGTCTGCCACCGGTACATTGTACCGAAAATCGCCCACGGTGCTTAAAGTAAGGACTTCATTAGAGAGGCGTTGAACCGACTCGATGGTTCCAAGCTGGTCGTTGCGGTGATATGGCACTTATTCCCATAAAATTATTGTTTTACACAAAACGGATATTGGTCAGATGTCATCTAATGTGTTTTGCTTGTTGGATGCAAGGTGCATCCTGAAGAATGGATTTGGGCCAAACACTACACTTCTTTATAGATTGTTATGGTATCTATACAAGTTCAACAAAATTTTGAACAATTTGTAGTTGAAAAGCTCTCAATTCTTTGAAAATAGTTTACCTTGGAGCTGCTAAACCGACAACTCCGGCAGCAACGCTGCCGCTGTGGAATCCAATGCGAACCATCATCAGCTCTTCGGGACGGTGAGCGAGTTTGAAGTTTGAAACAAACTGAGAAAGTGAAAATTTTTAAGTTAGCATCTCAGAAAGATGAGAAAGCCTTACCGATCTCATTTTTAGGGCAATATCAGCGATGTGCTGCACATGGTTATTGCCGTTTTCGTTCGGTACTCCTGACACAATCATATAGGCATCACCGATTGTTTCCACCTAGAAATTCGTCTTGATTAGTAATACAAAGCAGCAACTTTCAAAACTTTCGGTTAGAGTCACAGATCTAGCGGTGATTGTAGGATTCCTACTTTTTTAGAATTGTATCTGTGTCTAAAATTGGCTTACACCATGACGAATTTAATGTATAGTATTTCTACAGTGGTGAAATGTGTAGCACTCTGGTTAGAGGCGCCGTGCAATACACATGGGATAGATCCCGCGTTCCAAGCTCACCTAGCCCACCATTTTCCCTGTGTCGGAAAATTGGTGCTAGAGTCTTTTGGGATAACAGCAGCACTGGCTCGAAACATCGGTTGGCCACGCCGAGTCATTGATCGGCCCAGATGTGCTTTCAGTTACGCATAAAAATGCACAATAAAGTCGAATGCATGGGGTTCCCTCAGGGGTTCGTCAACTGCCCGAGCTTCTTCATACATTATCCTTTATTTGTACACAAGTAGAGTTGTATGATAAGGCTGGTTTAAAACAGTTAATCAGCCTCCAGCCACTTTTTGGAGATCTTGACTCCTTTTTATCAGTTGTCAAATATTTATAATGTTATGGAAAGATTTCATTAAGTAAGTCATTAAAATTTGTTCGTTGAATGACTTCGCTGAGTCACTGACCATCCGCTGTTTTTTGACAACGATCACGCAATTTGACTAAAGGATGAAGTGAAATTTTCAAAATTACGCATCGACTACGTAAGTATCGCTCACCTTTGGCTGTTACGGTTTCTGGTTTTTTTTTAATCTTTACAACTTGTTCAAAATTACGATTGAGAAAATCACGGCAGAAAGCGGCGAACCTTGTATGCATCGTGTTTCGCAATTATAGCATCAAACCCAGAAAACATGTCGTTGAGAAAAGTAACAACCTGGAGAGGAGTTGACGTTGAAGAGATTCTTGTAAAACCTAAAAATGGTTATTTTTTTATTTTAACTGTGTTTTTGTACACGCTATGATGGGAAAAAACCGCATACCCCGTATATCAGAAAAAAGAACAGTAGCGCAAGAGTAGAGTTGAGGTACCACAGGTTTTCCAACCTTGAGATCTTCAGCAACAGACCTGGATACCGTTTTTTCCATTATAGGATTTCCGTTAAATGTTATGTTTTATTGAGGTAAACGTAACAACTTAATTTTACATATTCTTACAATTTCCTAGTTTAGACATAGTTTAGATATAGACAAATGGTACTTTCTGTAATACATTTGAAACAGTATGAATGAGTCGTGTCAACACCGTCTCCAATTAGTCCTGTCACCTGCCCAATGTGGCCACTACACAGCACCTTCACCGGAGAAAGGTGAGCAGCACACAATCGGATTTCATGTTAAACACTGGAAGTTGTGTCACTCAACACCGTGTTGAGGCGCGTTTGACGCAGTGGTCGGAGGAGCCCTGCAACACACACTTGGAATCGATCCCCGCCCCATGGCCGACCAAGCCTTCCGTCCCTCCGGGATCGGTAAATTGGTACCAGACTTGTAGTATGGGAAGATAGCAGCACTGACTCGATACATGGTTGACCACCGCGAGTTATTGTAAAGGCCAGAAATGCATTCATTCACCTTCAACGATGCTTAAATAAAAGTCGAATACATGGCACAACCCTCAAGAATTGATCAACGCCGAGAGCTTTATTATTATTTATTTATTACAATGCCATGTTTTTTATCAGAGACAAGTCAGATTCTAAATCATTAAGCCTATCCGGATTCTTTTTTTCGCAGATTGCACAGAATATCTGACCTAGTTAATAATCGATGTTGCAGCCTTGTTAGAAACATCTTTAAACCATGGCCTTCGATCAAAACTTTTAAAGGATTTAAAGACTTTTATAAACCTGTCTAAGTGATCAACACATAATATTTTTTGTGCGATTCTTGGAAAGATTCATGGGAAACAGTTTGCGGCATATTCTACTGAAGGAAGAGAACACTCAATTAGCTCTTCAAAAATGCATGATAGTCCAGGAAAACTTCACCTTCTAATTTTATTTTCTAGCAAAAATCCCATCTATGACGGCGTGGACTTTAGTTAACGTACGTCTGAAAATCCACTTAACTCATGTGGCCATTCCCCTTCACTTTGCTGTAGATTGAGTTCCGAATCATACAAATCAACAACTTGGAAAATGGGTGCAGCAGATGAATGTTAGAAGGATCTAGATCTAAGTGCCGTCATCTACAATGTTGTTTGCATAGTTCGGCTTGCCAGAATAATATCTACTGGTCCCATGATTGTAAAGGCACTGGAAAACGATTTGGAAATTTGCAAATGGAAACCATACAAATGACGTCTCATGTGCTAATGATGAAGATTTGCAGGTAGAAGTTGATCTCCCAACCCGTTGAAGTAAAACTTTGAACTCATAGATCGCTTTTCTGGAGAAAATGTAGACGTGGTTACATGGTTTGGGCTTAGTGCAGCAGTAAACGATGTTTCGAATAGTGAGCACTTTCTTCTTCCTTTGTTACTAGCAACTCGTTTCTACTTTTTTTTTTGAGATGATTTTATATTGCCTTAACATGTGTGAAATCCCACATATTTAAACTCGTGTCTCAATCCTGGTTGATAATTTTGGAAAGTAGAATCATTATATCATCTTCACCAACAATCTTGCAGAAAGCTTTCTGTGAGTTCGCTAGTGCAGATATGCGAGGTGGGGCTGATAAACGATAGTACCTGCTTCTCTCTAATTTACTACCACGTTTTTGAAGGAAGAATTGCAGATGTGAGACGAGAGCTCGAAATCGTGCGCTATCCTCGGAAAATGCGAAGCCTGTGAAGAAAAGCCGTCTATTAGTAGCATTGCGACCACTCTCGTCAGAGTTTTTCCCCAAAAGGATTCATGCCAAACAAATATTGAAAGGCTCTCTGGGCTAACAAACGCGTCGTTTCTGGTTTTCACATTTGACATTATCATTACTTTCGCTATTATTATTAGTCCCGATGTGATGCTCTTCAACTGTTGTTGATTTCCGCTCAACAATGCCGGTAAGGTCACCAGTAATAGCAGTGTAATATGGGTCTTCTCTACATGACTACAATAATCCTTTCATCGACTAATATTTATAACACACAATCGCTGCCTTAGCTGAGAAGGGTCCGAGTTAAGGGTGACATACTATTACTACTCGCGTATAATACAAGAGGCATTGTCTGTCTACAATCAGCCATTTTTGCGAATAGTAAGAAAATAAGAATAATAGAATAAAAAATTCAAATTTGCAGCAATTACTCCTTTCGCTTTCACAGTTAACTTCGATAACTGGTATTGAGAAACAAGTCGAGTGATATCGCTATTACGACAATATTTAGAGAAAGACTTGAAAGCAAATGTTTAAGTACTTAGGCAGCATGCTGTTCAGGAGCCGATCAGCTTGCTTCTGCGCTTCTTCGAGAAGTGCTGTGCGGTCACGGACCATGTTTTCCAAATTGCTTGTGTACTCCTCCATCATCTTCATCATTTGGTCAACCAGTGATCCTTTGCCGCTAAATTAAACAAGGAGTGAAAAACGCTATTATACTCATGGTCATAAACACACAAGCTTTTTAACACATACGTCGAGCGTAGATTTGCGTTCACCATGCTTCGGACTCTTTTAATATGAGGTCTCATTTCAGGAAGTTCAAGCCAACACGCCTCAATACACGAAAGCAACTTAAAGTCTTCGGCTTTTTAATGTGTTGCATTTTTAAAGAATATCTCTAAATAAAGCTAAGAACTTGCCTGTAGGTTGAAACCTTCCGTGCCTTGACTGGATGGGAATGTAGGGCGAATAAGTTGATCGTCATCATTCGACATCGATATCATCTCCATTAACTCTATAGAGTGATAATGGTTCCGGAAATAATGTCAACTAAACCTCCTTACACAAAACTTAGTTTACTGCATTTTTTAGTAACTTATTAAAAATAAGTTCCAAAGTCGATGAGGCGTTTAGGAGCTCAGCGAGCTGCGTTTCCTGAGCTCTGTTAGTTTCTCTGCGATCACACAATTTGTAAACAAACTCTCTGTTTATTTCCGATTACTGGAAAGATAATTTGTAGAAAAAGACAATCACTTGCGACGCTTTTTCCTCTTTCATGGAATGGCTGAACACGGAATAATATTTGGTAGAGCACCATTCCCAATGAATAAATGTCGGCTGGTTGAGAACCGCGCGGAAGCGCCTTCCTCGTCACCAGTTCACGAATGATTTCCGGTGCCTGCTGCACGTATTCTGTGAAAGTAAAAAACCGTGTAAGTGACCAAGAGGGAACTCAAGCAATTCTAATACCTATAAATTTTTTCCGCTTTTCGTAAAAAAATTTTCCTTCTACTTTTACACGGTTTGATATTGCTTTATTTGCTTTCTCACTCGCTTGTGCAATATTGTCGTTCAGGTGTTCAATTGTTATAAAGGGCATGTTGCTTTTCATTTTTTCGCCAATTTTTTTTGAACTGTAATTGATACATTGGCAATTATTAGGATATCTTGTTTTTCGCAGATTTACCTTAATGTAGCGTATTAGAAACATTTGCTGTGTTATGTACTTCTTACGGGACTTCAACTCGTCAGTTTTTAGCTTTATGTTCCTGTTGTTGGCCATCAGGAACAAATTACTATTATACAAGTAGAGTGAACGGCTACATAATTGCATGCGGTGCATTTGTTTCCATTTAGTCAACAAACAACTATCTTTAGTGTGTCATACCCACTTGCCTTCCCTAAAACATTAATTGATTTACCTTCCTTCTTAAAGTAAAATAAAAAGAAGAATTTACTTCTATCTGCTAAACGATCGGATTCGTCGTCACCCTCCTCGACAATTAGCTTGATCTCATTGTGGCAGAGTTTTTCGCTGATTATCCACTCCGTTCCAAAATTTGTAAGTTTTACCGTCCAATTGGAATCCACTAAGCAGTTTTGTAGGCACAATAAACCATGAATCTGAAGAGGCGAAGAATGCAAGAAGGAGAGCCCCTGGAAAATAACGTCTTTTGTGTTGGATTTTTTTTCGATTGTGTTTCTTGATATAAAAGCTAGTAGTTGTTGTAATTTCTATTGCATCGATATAGTCAAAGAATAAAGCTCTCGACGTTGGTCAATCCCTGAGGGATGCGCCGAGCATTCGACTTCATTAAGTATCATTGGAGGTGATTCAATGCATATTTGGCTTATATGCAAGACTCGCCGTGGCCTACCGATGTATCGAGCCAGCGCTGCTATCCTTCCAGACAAGTCTGGTACCAATTTGCCGACCCCGGAGAGATAGAAGGCTTGATGGGCCATGGGCGAAGGGATTGATTTCACGTGTGTGTTGCAGGCGCCTCCGACTACTGCCCCACACGCGGACCTATTGCATTGAAAATTGTATTGAGTCGTCAACCACATGCGACTATAATCAGCTGTTCTAAACTTCCTCATTGGAAGTCACGAAAAAGCGGCTCTGAAGAAGGCGATACTGCCGAAACGTCAGCTAGCGTTGTATTGTATTGTGTTTTTATGGAAGTAAATGCATGCTGTTTAAAAACCTCGCGATTGCTGAACAAGAAAACGACACATTCATATTCCAATGCCGAGGTTAAGAGAAAGTCGATCTTGGAAAATTGTATTTTTCACCGTAAACTAGCTACTAGGTGGAAACTGTTAAAAGGATAATTTCCATGATCGACTTTCTCTTAACCTCGTCATTGGAATATGAATGTGTCGTTTTCTTGTTCAGCAATCGCGAGGTTTTTAACTGGAACCTTTTTCCAAAGTTCCTCATTGGGTGTCAAGAAAAAGCGGCTCTGAAGAAGGCGATACTGCTGAAACGTCAGCTAGTGTTGTATTGTATTGTGTTTTTTCTATGGAAGTAAATGTATGCTGTTTAAAAACCTCGCGATTGCTGAACAAGAAAACGACACATTCATGTTGAAAGGATAATTGAATTAGATATAAGCATGTCGGGTACTTGGTCATAATATGAGCTTGCTTAAAAGATTCTTTACAAAAATCATGTTTGTTTCACATCTCACACCAATATATTAATCTTGCAACATAAGCCCTTTGTCGGCCACTTATTCAATTCCGATTGCACATGTTTCAAAAACAACTTTAATGAGGAATACGTTCAGCATCAATATCGACTATGAAAATTGATAAGGGATAGAGCACATGGGGTTGATCAGTCTCTAAGAAATAAGCGATGCATTCGACTCCATTTGTGACATCATATAAGTCAGTGGAAGCATAATTGGCCTACCCAATAACTTCCTGTTCTTTACGTTGTTTCAAATTAGTGTTTTTGCTCCTCTGCACTAGTCTGCTGCCTAGTTGTCGACTCAGACGGAAAAGTGATTACTAGCTTAATCGTGTTGCCAAGACGAAGCCCGAATGTGTATGTATTGCAGAGCATTTCTAATTACAGCGTTACATGTGACTAGGCACCTACGTCACCTGTTATCGTCAAATAGCTCGGACCAACGCTACTAACATTTCGATTTTTCTCTGTCACGTGTAAGAGTAACGCAGTAGGTCCCGCCCGCCTTGAGGAGTAGCTGAGTATCATATCTTATATGTTTATTTATACGTTTTATGAAATGATCTTGTTAAGTTGACGCGAGGTTGCTATAATCGCCGTTGTTCTTGTTGTTGTTGTTTTTTGATAACTGACATCTCTACGTGTTCGCTTTTCTTAGAGTCGTTCTGTTGCGAATGGAACTGAAGTGCATTGGTGGTCCTTGTAAAAAAATGGTAGAATGCTCGCTTGCCAGTCGAGCCATCTGGACTTGATTTCAGGTCAACGTATCAGTTGTGGTGAAGTCCACAGTTACCACCACGTTATCAGCCCTTCTATCGTCGTAAGAGTAGAAGTCACCACACTTGGTGTTTTGACCAGGAATAAAACTCTGGTCGCCCACACGGCAGGCGAGCACCGTACCACTAGACCACCAATGCACTGCAATTTTGCTCCCAACAGCGCACATCTAAGAAAGGCGAAATCGCCGATACATTAACCATTGGCTAGCAACAACAACGACAACTATACCAACTTCGCATCGGTTCAACAAGACCAGTTCATAAAAACATATAAATAAATATATCGATTACTCGAGGTTTACAGAAAGTTGCTTTTTTGATTTATCATATCTTACGTTTAGGGTTTTAGTAAAGAACTCTGACCATCAGATCGGTGGTGCTTCTTGCTGCACCTTTGACAACCAGAGTCCAGTAGGTTATAGCTCTTGTCCATTGGTATTCATTCAGATGCTTTATATGTTCCCCATGTTAACTATAATATACCACTTCTGGATAAAATCTGTTTTTTCTACTTTCAATAAGACAAGAGTTGCAACTCTAAGAAATTGAGAAGTAGGAATTTGTAGCAGCGGCTGTCGTCGAACTCATGCCGTGTCACTTATGCCTCTCCATGTAGAGTTTCATGTGGCGATGTCCAAGGTCACTACGTGAAAAATTTTTACTCCACTTCTTTATTTCAAAGCCAAAACTTTTAGGAGAAGAGGAACAGAATTATCCAATGTTTACCGTATTTTCTGGTAAACAGGTTGTCCTTATTAAATACGAGCTTCCCACTGAGTATTTCAAGTAAAGACCAATTAATAAAGTTCAGATGCATGGGTAATGAGCCACTCTCGCGTAAAAAATTTCAGTATAAGATATTGTGTCAGTTCGATTGTGATAACGAGGATTTCGTCTGCCGTTCATTTTTTGATCCTCGTAATTTATCTACATCGCTACGGAACTTTCACGCGCTATAGCTTTCAGTTCCCTTGCGAAGATGGTAACTTTTGCTTTAAAACGTTCCCCTTATCTCTCTGTGACCAGTGTGCGCATAGTGGAGTATTTAGTTTAACTTTAAGTTTACCTACTAGATGTTCTTATATTGAGATGCAAAGTGGTCTACTCGTTTCACCAATATATTCGTCTCCGAAGCTCTACAAGAGGGCAGGTAAACCTGTACCCGAACTCATGCAGTACCTTCTCTACCGTTAAATTGGTCTGGCAAACAACCACTTCCATTGCCTACAAAACCTTAGCTTTTCAGGATAGCTTTAGAGGAAAAGCCACGCTACCAAAGGCTGATACTAGCGAGAATGAGGTTCCGTTTTTCATGTCCTTATTTCCAAATAAATGAGTGTGGCTAAAAAACATTGTTCAAAAAGAACTGGTTTCGAGAATTTGGGAACAGCGATTAAAATACCATCGGACATTGTAAGATGCTAGCTAGTTTGCAACCGCCTATAAGACCGTTCATGTGCAACTCAAAATTGCATAATTTGCCCTAATGGCAGAGATAGTGATTGCATGGGTTCGTGCACAGTTTATCTGACCCTTTGCAAAGCGTGCGGAGATGAATACATTGGCGAAGCATTTAGACCACTCTGCATCCGTACAAAAGAACGCATAAGTCCCGGTTGGTCTCAAGTTTATTAGAAGACTTACAGAAAGCGGTAAAGATGCTATTCTGTCTTCATCGCTATTAAGTTCTACGTATCAAAATTTTTTGTTGAGGTTATGGAGGTATTTGGCTGACTAGATTGCAGCCAACTTAAATATTCCAAGATCTGAAGAAGGTTAAATCAGCCCAACCATTAGCTTTTGTGAGTGTGCTAACCTCATGTGTGCTCATCAAAAAAAAAAGCAGAGTTTCATTGATTAATGCCAAGGTACATGGGAAGTCTATCTCAAAAGTTACTTCCAGTCACCTTATCCCAGCAGAGTTTTTGTGTCATAATCCAAATTCGAACGCTTCGTCTTTCAAAATCGTTTTTTTAAAAAAAAACAAAACATTCTAAACTACTGAATCTATTATTAAAAAAGAAATTTCAAACTAGTGAATGCTGCTAGAGACTTGTAATTTTGCTCACTCTTCGTTAAAACCGAAGTACCAACCATTCAATTCTTTAAGTGTGATGTCGTTATTACAGTAAATAACGGGGAATACAAATATTATAGGGTACCTTGACGATGTCTTTTGCAAAAGAAACCTGGAAGTTACGGCCAAGTTTCAGCTCGTCGTCGAATAAGATATCCTGCAAATGAATTCATTTCTCTTCCAGTCCAAATAGATGCTAGTTGAAACGCCTAGAAAATTGTATGAACCCAGCAAAATTTCAATTTAAACGCATTTTAAGAAGCGTATTTAACTAAAGAAGGTGGGACAAAAACCACACTCGTGTTAAGTGGATAAAAGACAGCTACTAGAAACTCACTTCAAGACTTCCACGTGAACAGAACAACCACATTACAATGAACTCGTTTTGCTGGTTGAATGCGATACCATAAAATTTGTTCAGATTTTCATTTTCAGTGAGTTTGAGCTGAAATTCACATTCTTAATGGTTATTTTGATAAATGCATAACTGTCTTTAAGTACTCAATAATAACATCAACCTCTTTGAGAATTTTCAGTTCTGTTTTCGGAAACGTCACGTTCCTCGTTTGCTGGAAGCGTACGAACGCAATTCGCACTCCATTTGACATTGCATGTCGTGCCGATACCACAGGCTTCGAACCGACACTTCCAGAAAACGACCCAGAGCTTTGTGATTTGCTCGCCAACGAATGCTCGGATCTCTTTAATGTGTTTTACGGCTGACTTAATTTTCTTTTCTGCACTCACAACGCTCATTTCATTAATTAACAGGTCGCTGCGAGAACTAGCTCTATCCCCCCCCCCCCCCCTTGCTCATTTTACAGTTGCGTGAACATATTATATTGGTTAATTCACTTCCTTCTCTTTACTCCACTTTTCCTACCCTCAATCCTCAGTAGTAATTATATGACCTCATACCGACTGTTTGCTGTCCATGAATCTTATGCTATCTCTTGGTATACGCCACGTCATGTCATATAGTAGTTGTTCCTTGCTAAAAAGTACCATAACAGTGAAAATATGTCAAAAGAAAATTTTCAGAAAGCTTACTGCTTTAAATAGACAAAGTAAGAAAGTGGTGAAACCGTAAGCAAAAATATTGTTGCACCCAGAAGAATAAAGTATACAGTATAGTCACAATCAGATCCAGTAAATCCGCAAGATGGCACAGCTTTCGGTAATTGCCCAGTTGATGAAGGCCAATAGAATTGTGTAACTTCACGAGCAACCTAGATTCCCATATGAAAACTGAGAGGATAAGAAAGTAATTTTTGGTGAAGCTAAACCTTGTTTTTTATCCCATTACTTGACATAAATAAAAATTTACATGCTCTGAGCATTGGTTAGTGTTCTTCTCGCAGCGCTCTCTATTGACAATTTTCGCCTCCAGCTCGACTACGATTCGCATTGTACTGTTAGTGATGTGGTACGTTGCATAACTGGGCACACGAATTGCCTTGTGGTTCATTAGTACTTGACCAGTCACACCTGGAACAAATTGGAAACAAGTTGTATAAGCAGCTGCAGTAACACCAGTTGCCTTCATCCATAAATATCGGTGAAAAGCAATGACGTTACTTCAATTTCCATCGACGGCAGCAAGTTAGCCACGTATTTATTAGGTTAAGATAATGTCGAACAAATTCAGGAAAATTTTTTTGTATATATGAATAAGCTTTTGCAAATAAATTGTATGTTTCACATGAAATAGTAACACACAGAATTATGATTGATGTTAGTTCGAAGTAGTTCGGTAAAACGAGGATTAGCGGGTTAACATAAAGCCTAAGAATAAAGTGCTTATAATAGAACGGTTCAAAAACATTTTGCCGCGCTGGAAACGAAGATTTATCACAAATCTTAGTTAGTTACAATCTTAACCATTTTATTTACTACCTACTATAATTTTTAACGGTAGGGTATTATGTGAAATACACCTAAGATAATGCTTATTTCGATTTCAGCCTCAGCTTAACTAGGTTCGTTGCCTATTTGAGCTCCCTAGATTAGTTCCGTTGACCGGTGACTGCTGATGGCCCTGATCAATAAAACTAGCTAAGAGACAGTCGAAACGAAGGACCCGCATGGTGTGGTGGTGAACGCGTTACTCCCCGGAAAGGACAATAGCGCGTTCATTCTCCACCGCAAGCACCTGCAGTCCGGAATTTTGCCAATATCTAGGTATTATCTTCCTGTTTGGTTATTCTATCCTCCAGTACTAATTCTGAGTCTGACTTGCTCTGAACTCTTAGATAACACCTCTGCTGGATAAATTGGAGCGCTGTGCTATTTGTTGGTGCTCGTTAAATGGTTTATATCGCTGCACCATTCAGCGCACTAATAAAAAGTCGTTAATACTCGTCTACCTACCAATAAATTGTCGGTTAGTCATCTTTGACCAGATAAGCGATCCGTTCTGATGAACGTCGAACCCACCAATCTCCTCATAGGCATCGCGAAGAGCTAGGCCATAAAGGAACAGCGCATCATAAAGCGACATGTAGGTTAGAGTGGCATACTGAAACGTTTCAGTTGTCTGACTTATAGGAATGGTGAGCATTTTACAAAAGTTAGGAGCTTCTGTAAAAAATTTTCACATTTTTATTTTTCTCCATGTTGTATGGCCTGTCTTCTCGTCTACTGTGCGGATCTCAGCGCTTCCCACATTCAATTCGTTTCCTCACATCCATTGCTCACGAAGATCTTCCAACTTTACGTGTGGCCTTGGTTCTGCTTGAGGATTTTCATTTCATCTTGAATGTCGTAGAATGCTGGTTGAGCAGTTCTTCATGAAGCCCTGTGATAGCCGGCCTGGAGTGTTCCTCACCGGATTGCAGAGAATGATTTTTTCCCGGACAAGATCGGTACCAGTTTCCTGACCATGAAGGGATGAGAGGTTTGGCTGGCCTGGAGTGGAATCGAACTAGCACCATGTTCGTGATGACGAACATCGCTAACACTGTGCTAACCGCCTCCCTATATTTATACAAGTATACATGAATGTGCATAATAGTGGTATAAAACAATTTACTGGATAGATCATTGCAGCTAAATTTGTCCTCTCATCTTTCCCTTTTCGGGAAATTTTAAATACTTGTCTGGGAGAAGCTCACCCCCACAGCCCACATGCAGACGCTCTTGATCGGTTGTCTCAGAATTCCAGGGAGTGTTCGACACAGCCAGCAATTGCGGACAATTGTGGCGAACGCGAGAAACTCAAGTAATAAGCTGAAGCAAGACGCAGAAATGCTCGCAGATCTTTGTGGGCGTCGGGTACAAGGGACCGAATTGAATACAAGAACCGCAATGGTCAACACTGTGCGACACCTGTGATGTCGTGTCATACAGTAATAATAAAAAAAAATTTCCACATCTGGATCCGAATTTTAGTATGCTACAATAAATAAAGGACAAACAGTAAAGACGTCGGCATTGATCAGCTTTTTAGGGATGCATCATGTGTTCGACTTCATCTGACCTCGTAGAGGTAGGTAGCCGAATAAATTGAAGTTCTATGCAATTACTTGGTCTGGTCTGTTAATACCTCGAGCTTGTGCTGCTAGCCTAAAAGACAAATGCTGCACCAATTTACCAACCCTAGAAGGACAGAAAGCTTGGCTCTCTTAGGAAGCGTGATCTAATCAACGACCACGTATGAATTACAGGGCACCTGTATCTCCTGTATCACGCTTAGCCCACATTATTAATAATCTGGACAAAAGTCGTTGCATTGAAGTTGCCTCTGTTTCACAACCTTCATAAATGCGTTGAAGTTCTTCAGCATTTTAAATGAGGATTTACTCACCACTCCATCTTCGCTACAAAGTCAGTTCAACTCTTTAAACAAAGGGTAACATTATACTTCATACTTGATTGGCCCGTCCTCACTGGTTGTGCGGGCCTCAGCACAAACTCCATTTTTCGGAGATTTTCTGGTTTAGCCATTGTGGTTCCCTGGAATTCCGAGGGCAGCCTGGCCATGGTCAGCCCCAGGCTGTCACCACTGCTGGCACCCACGGAATTTGTGGATCAGAGGGAAATTTGACACCATGCGATTAGTTTGATACTAGGACGGTGGTGAATCCTGGTATTGGTTTACTCTTATCTAGGCTTCCTGATAGAAGCGCCGGACTCCTTCTCAGCTTGGGAGACCACGCCGGGGGATGAATCTCCTCACTGTACATCGCACCCCGGTACCCAAAAACGCCTCCCAGCGACGATGAGGTGGTAAACGGTTGAGAGGTGTAACATTATATAAAGTAAAAATATAAAGCTTTCTGTGTTGATCAATCTTTGATGGATGCGCCATTCATTCGACATCATTAAGCATCTTTAGAGGTAATCGAATGGGTATCTGGCCTTTACAATGACTTACGATGGCCTACCGAGCTATCGAGTGAATGCTACTACCCTACCAGACAGACTTGGTAGTAAGTAACCGTCCCTGGAGGGTTGAAAAGCTTGATGAGCGTGGGGCGGGTGGCCTTTTTCATGTGAATTGGAGGGCGCCTCTAACCACTGCGCTCGATAATGGCGTCCGAAGCATTTTATAGGATGTTAAAATTTTATCACCTAAGTCATTTTGACTGAACTCACATGACTACTAATCATTCCAGTGGCTTGACTAAATTTTTCTTGAAAGTCGTCAAAAAACTTTTTGTCGTATCCGTGAGCTGTAATTATGATCACGTTCTCGAACGCAGCTTTCACCTCCTGCTTGTCCACCGTTGCTGCTTCCCATGGATATTGGTCGTTCGTCTGAATGTTCCATGAAAAATCGTTTTTTTGGGTGAGCAAGAGGCCTAAATTTTATAGGTATATATGTGTATATATCGCACGTATTGCATATATATATATACTCTTCACATTTAAGAAAACGGCGCTGTTGCTTTACAATGTCCAATACGAATGTGTAATGCGCTTCAAAAGTATATTTGAGTGGTGGTAAATGTTTTGTGGTACATTTCTTACCAGCTCTCAGTAACTTACATGAGCCAGCCATGGAATGATGTAAACATAATCTTTCGTTTTCATGTCGTAACGCTGAACAGCAAGCATGAAGTTAGTGGCGGAATTAATGTCCATACCCAGCTCGACAATGATAACTATAGCAAGATTTATAAAAGTTTTTCTTTCCATTCTCTTAACCGATTTTGTTTTGTAAAAAAATAAACTAGATTGGACGAAATAATTTTGATGGAAAACGTACTTCGCGCTTTGCTGCTTAGTGATTCCAGCTTTCCAGACAAAATGATTTCATCTGGTAAGGACATCTTGTCGAAATCGGCGACAACATTCACTTTAATATCTGAGTTTTTAAGTAGATTGCTCAACGATTGCAGTGACAGACGTTCGTAATTTGTTGAGGCCCGAACGAATCCAATCTATTAAAACATTCATAAGCTATATTGAAAGTAAATTACGGTATATTTATCGTATTTATAGTTTAATCTGCCCCTAATAACTAATTATAGTGCGTCTACTACATTAGTATAGTTATATTACTATATTAATATTGGGTACTTGGATACTTGCATGCTCCGTCCTCACTGGTTGTGCGTGTCCCAGCATAATCTCCATTCTATTCGGAGATTTGCTGGTTTAGTCATTGTTTCCCTGGAATCCTGACGTCACCTTGGCCTAAGTCTGCCCTCAGTCGTCGCCCTTGTGTATCAGAGAGATTTACCACCATGGGACTAGTTTGACATCAGAACGATGGTCGATCCTGGTATTGGTTTACTCTTAGCTATGCTTCCGGATGGAATACCCGTATCTTATTAAATGATGTGATTTTACACTTGACTAATTTCAAAATGCTTTCGATCAACAGAAAGATTAAGGTGTTCGAATTTCCAAAATGCAAGATCAGACACTTCAATTATCAAATGTACATTTTCAGTACGAGCAAATTTCTAAGGTATGACATTCTCTATTCGATCAAATAAACGAGCAATATTGTTCTTAATGAAATAGTTCTTAGTGATTTACAAGCGCTTAAAAGACCAAGAACTTTAAAAATGCTAGAAGAACTGCGAAAAACTCTTTTTTGAAGAATTATACTTAAACAAAATATCTTAGTAGTTTCACAATTTGAGGTAGACGTTTGACACCAAGAGTGGTTGAGAAGCTGAGAGCTTGGTAGACTTACATATAAGGCTCTGATCTATTGTCAAAAGGAATTAATCGCTATTTTGAAATGTTGTTTCGATCCTGGATCGTCTAAGAATCAAATTTGTAGCAAACTGAAAGCAGGTTTTATCGTAATATTTACCTTTTTATTTGCTGCGTATTTTTTTGTGGTAGTGTGTTATATGAAATACAACTATAAAGATGCTGAGGTAAGAGCAAAACTTGTAGCGTCAGTTCGGCATCGAACTCATGATTACTCTTTCAGGAGAGCAACGTTCTATCCACCACAAATGACACCAGCTTAACTGGGTTCATTTCCGAATTTTCACTCCCAGATGATTTCCGTTAACGGTGACTAATGATAACACCGTAAGTGCAAAAAAACCTGCTAAAAGAAAGGCAAAGCTGTTGCAGTGTGTAGCACTTCAGCCTCTGGAAATGGTAGACGCGGATTCGAGACCGCCATAATGTTTCTGGTTTTGCTCATTTCTCAGCATCCTTGTGTGGCTGCAAACATCACCAATATATTGGTGGATACCATTATGCTCTGTTCTATTGCTGCACCATCTCTTTGGTATCAGAATTTGTCATGTTTCGGTGGGAGAAAAAATTTATGGGCTCGGTGAAAAAATGTGGACTAGGACAGTTCTTTCACGTAAACAAAATTCTGTACTATTTCCATTTCATCGAGAAGCGTTCACTAGTTCACTACGAGTTGATACACGTCTGCACAGAATTCGAAGGGATAATTGCTATCATTTTCCTTCGCATTGGCATCAGTACGTCTTATTATAATATTTTTTATTATTACCTACTACAACTTCTACGGCAGGGTGTTATGCGAAATCTGCCACAATGTTGTTCATATATTTGCGAAACTCTGTACGGCAGGTGTCTACGGTGAGGAACGAAAGCGCTATTGTCCTTTCCGGGAAGTAACACGTTAACCACCACACCATGCGAGTCCTTGGTTTCGCTTTTCTCTCAGCTAGTTCTATCGATCTTTTGCCATCAGTAATCACCCGTCAGCGAGATTGATTTGGGGAGCCCAAATCGGCAACGAGCCTAGTTAAGCTGAGGCTGCAGTTATAGTTACAATTTTAACTTATTATTTACTGCCTTACTGCCTACTCTTTTTAAACGACAGGGTATATTGCGACAGACGAAATGAAGGACCCGCATGGTGTGGTGGTGAACGCATTACTCCCCAGAAAGGACAATAGCGCGTTCGCTCCCTACCCCAGACACCTGCGGTCCAGAGTTTTGCAAATATCTCAGCATTATAGTAGTTATATTTCGCAGAATACCGTGCCGTTAAAAAGAATAGGCAGTAAATAAAAAGGTTAAAATTAATAGCTTTCAAGAAAGAGTAGAACAGCGCAAAGAACTACAACAACGTTGGAATTGACTATCGATTATCGAAGTTCGATAAAATATTGTACGCTCGGTGATTAGATTAATTGGTGAAACCTAATTGAATGTGGTGGAGCACAACAGATTGTGGTTTCCCTGATAGTACCTGATTCCAGTTGTTTAGTTGAAGAAATGTAAGAATGGCTCTAGCCATTTCGCTAGCTGATGTTAGGGCTACGGAGCCAAGGGTCGAGAAAACACTTCGATCACTTAGCGCGTCGTCACCTGACATGTGAGCAATAATAGGCACATTCCATCGAGGTGCAAGACGACCAATGACAAGCATTTCTGAAGAATGCAATAGAAAAATGTAGTAGGCAAAAAGATACTGATAGAAGTTTTATCGAAAATTATTAAAAACGACACACTCTGATAATCAAGACAACCAGAAAAGAACAACGGAGCTACGTTGAAGTCCACAGCGTCATCGAAAAACCATGGCGATGTTGTTTTTTAGCAGTGGACATAGTTTGTGAAATGCTGCCGTTGGAAGATTTCTTTTAGAAGTTGATCATGTAGCATCATAAATCCGCCCTGTTGAAGTCGTTCGATGACGACGTAGAAGTTTCATGCGATTGAATCTACTCTGATAAGGCCTTTGCAGATTTACTAGTAACACTGCAGCACTTCCTCGACAGTGATTAATGAAAAGCCAGAATTTTGTTTTTTATCTATTTTAATATCTGGAGAAGAAACCGTAGAAGCGATTTTGATGTTCAGAGTATGCTGGACTGGTTTGCCACTAGTGACTAATCAATAATAGGAAAATTGTGTTTGAAATGGTATTAGCAGTACCTTTCCATAAGGAGATCATATACGGTTAGGACGTAATGCTAGCAAAAAATGCATATTGATCAAAAATAAAAATGTACACGGAATTTCATACCATTGTTGCATCCCGGACCGAAGTAAACGGTCGCATTTTTAATATAGTGCAGATACGCTGCATGTTCAACACCTGAGAATTTGTTGCAGCTTTCCATCGTCAAGATCCTGAATTGAAACAGCCGCTGAAACGACAACGCATACCACAAAAGCCATTCTCAATCTGATTAATTGTTCACGTCCAAAGCTGTTTCTTCTTAACCTTTTTATTTACTGCCCATTCTTTTTAACGGGAGGGCATTTCTGCGAAATATAGCTACTATAATGCTGAGATATCTGTAAAACTCCAGACCAGCATGTGTCTGCGGTGGGGAACGAACGCGCTACTGTCCTTTCCGAGGTGTAATACGTTCACCCCAGATCAATCCCGTTAACGAGTGATTACTGATGGCAAAAGATCGATAGAACTAGCTCAGAGATAGACGAAACGAAGGACCCGCATGGTGTGGTGGTGAACGCGTTACTCCCCGGAAAGGACAATAGCGCGTTCGTTCCCCACCGCATACACCTGCGGTCGGGAGTTTTGCAAACATCTCAGCATTATATTAGCTATTTCCCGTCTTCCTTACCCTCTGTTTATCGTAGCCGAAAGGTATCATAAAAATGCAGACCATTAAAAAGTTCGCCACAGAAAAAATTAATGTTACTATGCTCACTTTTTTATTTACCGCCTACTACCGTTTTCATGGTAAGGTATTATGCAAAATCAACCACAACGATGCTGAGATATTCGCAAAACCTACCTGCGAAAATTATCACCCTGGCATGAGAATTTTAGTGAGACTGCAGCTTCAGCTTAACTGGGTTCAATGTCGATATGGGTTTCCCAGATTCCCTTGACTCTTTGACGGGTGATTTTTGATGGCACTGGTAGATGGAAAACTAGCTAAGAGAAACGTAGAGAAAGTGCCTCCGTGGCTCAATGTGTAATTCGCGGGCCACCGTAAAGGGGAATCGTGGCCCTATTATGTTAAACGGCCTAATTGTAAATCAAGCCAATCTCATCAGGTAACGTATATCTATACACATAAACATACTTAAATACATTTTAAGTAAGAAAATCAAGTTTTTTTTGAACATAGAAACTTACGTTAGGGTGTAGTTGATGGGTAGAATTTTCCGCTCTTGCAGATCTCTGGCGCACATTTTTAGGATTTCAGGTTCATGAATAAAATTCGGGTTATTTGGTTGTAGATGCCCGACTCGGACACTGCCACCAGATTGAAAACGACGATCGCTTATCTTTACGAAGTTCACTTGACTCGTACTCGTTGCCAGCCATAAGAGCGATAACAGCGTAGTTGTTGATCTAATATGAATAAATAGGGTCTATTAACTTTCAAATTCATGTGAGGACAATACTCCATAAAATGACTTATCAGTAGAGAAAAAATTTTTACACTGTAGTCTTAAAATTTCTTAAGAACACCGTATTACCCTATTGCTTTAACCCTACATGAGGGTTTCGTACCTGCTGACCACCTAGTTTTTTGCAAAACAGTGCAATCAGTTACTACGTATATGGCATTTGTGGATGAGAGCTCACGTTTATATTTATCTTCAATCAAATTCACATTAACCGACTTCACATAGTTCTCTTATTCGGTACTTTGTCCTGCATCTTTAATCTGCGACAGTTTTCTGATTTGTTTGTGCGTTCAGCAAATAGATCGAGAACTTCGTCTTAAATGTCAGTTAGCACTGATCCAGCTAATTTCTCATAAAATCACAGGATAACTCCGTCGGAATGTTCCCAATTTCCCACCATGGGCAGTTACTGACCTTTGCGAATCGAGATGACGCAAACTGATGACAATTTTCGAATTCCCGAGTGGTGGGAAGCTTGATCAAATTGCGCAGCTGTACAGCAATGAATGTGCTTGTTGGATGAAATCTCAAGCTCGACAGCATCCTTGGCCTAATTCAATAAAGCGCTCGCTTTTAATTCTTTCACAAGAAAAGACCGCAACATTTTCTTAGTTGAGGACGAGAGCGTGATTTCCGTTTTAAACATAATCTAAATCCTGATAAACTGCCCAAGTGACAACTTGGTCACGACGTGACCAAACTTCCCTAGGAAAGCTGGCAACTGCAGACAGGGACGATCTGAGAAAGCTGTAACACGGCCACTTTGGGACCCCAAGAAAATAAATCTCATCCGACCACCAAGCTATCTCAATGAAAATTGTGGTAGTTTATTAACTGTTATGATTACACAACCCTACTTCAAAAGTGTCACAATGTACGAATCCAACACACCTTAGACTCTATCCATTTTCTCACATTCTCCCTCCACGTAGGTCTTCCGGCACTTTTTTGCACATAGGCTCGCCTGATGCTTAAGGGATTTTCCATTTCCTTCACGAATATCGTTAAATTCTGGTCAAGTCAAACCTTTCTTGAATTCTGAGATAGCGGTGATAGACCGTTCTCACATGACGGAGAGAAAGCAAACATGTCCCAGATAAGACGGAAACCAATTCCTTGACCTCGGAGGAGTGAGAGACATGGTGAGCCCATAGCTGGGTCGAACCAATGCCTGGGTAGGCTGGATGGCCCGAGTAATAAATGAGACCACTATCTCTGGGGTACATTCACCGTGGGTGATTCATATATTCAATTAGAAAATATTCTAAATTTGTAGTGCAATCAATATATTTGTGTTTTGCGGCAATACTAGTGGACGAGGAGTTAAGCAGGTGAAAAAGCCTTTTCATTCAATTCAAAAGTCGTACACTGAGGTAACACGACTGAAAGCATACGTGAAAATTTAGCATTTTACAAGTTAACTTCTTACGCCACATCGCATTTCTACTGCTCATTCTTAAAAAGGCACTGATTCAGAAATTTCATGCGGTAAAAAGCCGTTTGCCAACAACTGAAAAGGTCCTACTTTGCAATAGTGTTGTAATCCTGTATATCATTCGAACACTAACATATTGTTATTCAGCACGACAACAATCATGAAGTAATGATTAGAAGTCGGTTATTTAGTGGAAAATAAAGAAGGTGAAAAATCGGAGCTGCCTGCATACCTCACTGTCAGCAGCATCACAGGTGGTGTTGATTAAAAGCTGATTTGGTGGAGTACTATCCTTCAACACCAAGAAGTAGTGAAACTTCAAGAAAAGGATATCTTGGAGTGAGTGCTAATGAAATGTGCCGCTCAACCACTGATGTTGATAGGTAGTTGGTTGAGATATGGCGATGTCCGGAAGAAGCGAATCGGATGCGTGCTAATGGGCAAGTCGTCTTAATAGCGATGGATAAGCGATGTTTTGCTGAATCGTATTATTGTAGGTGTTTTAGCACACTACCCTATGAGTATGAAGCATTGAAACAAAAACTGCAATCAATTGGTACCGATGTTTTATAACCATATTAATGGAAAAGAATTCCATTTTCGGAAGCGAAGCAGCTTTCGATCGACTTACCATCGTTGGGTGGGCATAGCTAATCGCCTCAGCGTAAGACCCTAACCGTAACTGCAAAAACTCGCTTCCTTGTGCGGTTGGAGATTGGCCGCAATTGTCAGTAATATTGAAAAACGTCTTTTGCGTAGTTCACTTTTTCAGGAATCGCGGGGTTGTTACACAGCATACATTTACTTCTATGCAAAAAGCATACATACCACAAAAGTATTATCACCTTCCTCAAAGCCTAGAATGGTATATTGATATTCTTTTTACTACGGCAAACGCTTCAGTAACACATACAAAAAGACGAAAACCTATATGGCAGTCACATAACTAACAGCCTCCCGAAAAACCCACCGTTTTTACGTGCCCTGCCGTTAGGAAGTACAACCGATTAGAGTCGCAATATGACCAGTAAGTGCAACACCCCACATCAAAAGTCGATGCGAAGATACGGGATGTGTGACAATCTCTAGGCATTCTCCCTACTACTAGTTTTAGGATTTTTGGAACTTATTCAAAAACCCTCAAGAAGTTTGCGCGTTCGTGTTTGGTAACCACATGGTTGTTTAGCTAGTTCTATCAAACAGTACCGTCAGCAATCATTCGTCAGCGGGATTGATCCGGAGAGCCCAAATCGGCATTCATCCCAATTAAGCTGAGGTTGCAGTTGAAATGCACCATACAGTTGTTCGTGTCAGATTTAATCCATCAAAACCTCCTTAATCCGAATGAGACCATTACAGTGGAGAAGTACGTCTGCATTCACCAAATGCGCCAGAAACTTCAACAGCCGGTATATGCTTGACGGATGGTTGCAAAAGCTATTTGTGTTCTCTAGCTCAAAGGACATCGGCGGTAATAAGGGTCTTAGAGCTGTGCTCATTTCCGCGCTTTCGACAGAAACTCCAAGTTTTGAGAGAGGAATATCAGGCGGTTTTCTCCAGTGAGTATCTTAGTTCTGAGGCGGTGATGATGAATCAGAGAAGATTGATATAGAATTGTTCCTTTATAAATTCTATATATAGCCAGATGTTGTGGTGGTGTATTCTCGTTCATCACTACTGTTGGTAGGTGATTACACTTGCACTGGCCAGACGGCAACTCTTCAGACTAGCTCGTTTTTCTGTTGCACCCAGTAATTTTTGCCTCTGCAAAGATGTAATTCTACCTGCGAAGATCTTCTACAGCTTGCATTTGTTATTAGTCGCGTTAGATGCGCTTCATATAGGAAGTACAATTACGACTCTTTTTTACATGAGTCGAGACCACATGTTGTTCAGATTTCAGCACTCCTTGCATTGAATTCGTTTCTTCGCATCCATGATCAACGAAATTCGTCGAATACTTTGTGTGTGGTTTGGGCTTCCACTTGAGGATTTTCGTTTCAGCCTCAAATCNATATTTGTATTAACTCCTTTCCACATAGACTAAAAATGAGAGCTAATTCTTTCACAGCTCTCTATACACTGGAGGGAGAGAAAACCTGATCGAGCCGGTGGAAGTAAACAGAGGCCTTGGGCATATTGAACGGCATTTTTATCAATGCGCTACCCACCCCTCGATTTCGTTTTGCAACCATATCACTCGTGTTTGAGCTGTACTCTAAAATGCTTTTTCAATGTTTCAATGTAATCATTTCAAAGTGGATGTACCGCTTCGTCACTTGTTGGATGATGACTCCGCACGCTTACTCACAATTTCACCTTGAAACTTCTTATAAAGTGTTGTGTTCGACATAACGTTTTAAGGCGCATCATTCATGTATCTACTCATCTGAAGCACCCAATTCATTGCAATTCGCTAAATGAGTTTCACTACACCCTTGTCTTTGGCCCTTTGAAATTTTTCCTCATAGCGGCGTGTTTTCTTCGACGATGGGTCATGACAGAACGGAGGGTCAAACTGCTGTAGCTTGTTCATGATAAATGAGAATGGTGTGTTCAATTGCTTAATCCTTGTCGTCGTTTTCGCTAATACGATCTGGTGGCTGATTTCTGGCTTATTCTCTTTAATTTTGGTCTGCACATACAGCTCAAAACCTGCACTAACACAGAAGCTTAAATGATAGGTCTTATAACTTCAGTAGCTTTTCGGCTACCTCTCTCTGAAATCACTATGAGGTAGGAATAGACTTCATTTTTTCGTAAGATTTCTGTTTGTTTGTTGCTCCCGGTAGTAACGCTGATTTGTTTTAAGTAGGTAATTTCATTAACAGATAGTTACATTGACGACTACTTCTTTTCACAGGCGTTATCCGTATCTCTAGTTGGAGGGATATGAAGGAGGATTGGATTTAATATTAGCAAAAGAAGAATTTTGAGTACGTATGTGAAAAGGTATGCTTTGCTATGACAAAAAGTTAGGAAGCCCAGAAAAAGTTTTCACAGAAAAAATTGCCGAATTTGGTCTGGTCACTACTTGAAGATATCGATCGCAGTATGTGGCGGATCATAAGGAGGAATATTAATTTCCAGCGCAAAATTCTAAATGGTCATCCGGTTTCAGATGAACCATCAAAGCAAATTATGCTGCAGAATCCTCATTCGCTATCGTTTTCCTTTCCACTTTTGGCCTCTTTTGGGTTCCCCATGTCGGCATTTTTGCGTAGTCAATTATCTGCCAGCATCTTGATCAGAACTCAGCGACTGCCTTTTAGAATACTAAGAAGAGGTGTAGACATCGGTCTGTCTTTCATCCTTATTTCGAATTCTTTTCATTTTACGTTTGCCATTATTTAACTATTCGTTTTAATCACCGCGCTTTGCTCACTTCGTGTATGAATTATGGCAAAGGTAACCTGTTGTCGAATGAGTAACGGTTTTCACTGCTACATGTTATCTCTTTGGAAAACGCTTGCAGCGGAAACAAGATTTCAGTGGCGTTTGTGGCACGAACCTCAAAAATCTAGTTTTTCGACTGGCCTAGTGCAATGAAAATTTGATCGGCATTTCATTTCTGAAGTTCTACTTCAATGTGA